GACTTTCTTCAGCAAAGCAAAAATAAAGATTCCTTCCATTTCCCATCACCCAGTGTCCAGTCATCTTTGCTCTGGTGTTACACAGCAGATGCTACGTACGTGTTAGCTTTACATTGCCTACAATAACTGCCACAAGGCCCAGAGAACAGTTGATTTTTAAGTGTGGCATCTTTGACTTGATCATGTGAATCACTTTCACTGTCCTTTATTTAAGATGGTCTCTGCAGTTAGACTTAAAACCTCCGAGACCTTGTGTCACCCTCATTCCTGGGAGACGCTGTCCAGACCCTAGTGCAGAAGGGGTCTCTGATTTCCTGTGCATCAAGAAATCTCGTGTCTGAGCATAGTACAAAATTTGACTTTAAGATGCAAAAGAATTTAAATTTTGTAACTGACATTTCACCTAAGAACGTTTGTAATGAAAGGGGGTTGGTATTCCAGTCTGTCTGGCTGGAATTTTATGATGTAAATGCTTTCATACTTGTTTTTTCTCTCATCCCAGTGTATCATTGAACCTTACTGAAGATTTCTGCATTCTGCAGTGAAAACGATAACAGACTTAATTTGGAATGATCAGAAGGAAGGGGGGTTATTTCCTAATACCGAGAACCACCTTATCTTGGGGTTGAGGGAATTATTTTCATCTGTTTTGTGATCTTCTGGGACTGTGTCTAAATTGCCCAACTCTGATCCTAAGCAGGATGCTCAGGAGGGTGACTGGCATGGAGGAACTCACCCCCAGGGACGGCTTGAAGGGAGTTGAGGAGATTTTGGTTAAGCCCATGTCATAGACGAATGGAATGGCTGGGGGAGGGAAGGGTTCTTTTCTAATTCTCAGTAATTAATGCAGACTATGTAATCTTTGTCCCACTTAATCCCTCAAACTTCCTTTCATGTGGAATGAATTAGCCAGTTTTGGAGATTTCTAAAAACAGAGCAATAGCACAGGGGGTAGGGTGTTTGCCTTGCACACAGCCAACATGGCTGACCCGAGTTTGATTCCTCCGCCCCTCTTGGAGAGCCCGGCAAGCTACCGAGAGTATCTCGCCCGCACGGCAGAGCCTGGCAAGCTACCCATGAGGTATTCGATATGCCAAACACAGTAACTACAAGTCTCATGATGGAGACGTTACTGGGCCCGCTCGAGCAAATCGATGAACAACGGGAGGACCGTGACCCCGTGACCGTGGAGATTTCTAAGGAGATTCTTGAATGAGAAATGCATAATTCTGTCTGGTCCCGCCCATTCCTTTTCCTAAGAACCAGAAGTATCAGGCTATTCTGCCATGTGCATTGTAAATCTCTCAAGGGGACACACCCAAAGGTGACACTCTGCCACTCTCCTTGGGACCTTTGCCCCACATGGCTGAACCGAGGGGTAGAAGGGTGTTAGGAATCCTTCTGAAGTTTTTATAGAGTATTTTCTCAATCTCTAGGGAAGTTAGGACTGTTTGTTATTACCCGGATGGTCTCAGGTCAGTGGGAAAGAGAAACATCACTCATATAGTTGTTATAGACTTACAAATACAAGGGGGCTGGAGAAATAGTACAGTAGGTGAGGTGCTTCCCTCGGCATGTAGCCAACCGGGGTTCAATCCCTGGCACCACGCTCCCCGCCCAGGGGTGACCCATGAGCACAGAGCCAGAAGTACGCTCTGGACACTGCTGGCTTTGGTACCAAAACCAAAATAAAAAAAAAAAATAAAATAAGAATGGAGTGTAAATAGGAAATATTCTGGGCTGGAGCGATAGCACAGCGGGTAGGGCGTTTGCCTTGCACGCAGCCAACATGACCGACCAGAGTTCGATTCCTCCACCCCTCTCGGAGAGCCCGGCAAGCTACCGAGAGTATTCGATATGCCAGACACAGTAACAACAAAGTCTCCAATGGAGACGTTACTGGGCCCGTTCGAGCAAGTGTTATTCTGAGGAAGGGGTACAGTTCACACCCAAGCAACACACTGGAGTGACCTGGGGACTTCTTTAGCAGTGCTTGGGTGTGGTTCCCTGTCCTAGTTAAGAGGTGGGTTTAGCTTTGTATGATGCATGAGGTCCCTTTTCTCCATTCCACTGTGTCACAGATGGCTTTATTCCCACTTTAATGCCAGCAGGTATCTGATACAATGTGGGCTCTTAAAACCAGTCCTGGGCTCTGGAGCGATAGCACAACAGGTAGGGCATTTGCCTTGCATGAGGCCAACCTGAGTTCGATTCCCAGCATCCCATATGGTCCCCCAAGCACTGCCAGGTGTAATTCCTGAGTGCAAAAGCCAGAAGTTTCCCCTTTGCATCGCCAGGTGTGACCCTAAAAAGCAAATAAATAAATAAATAAAACCAGTCCTGATCTCCTAATTGGTGAATCTTGGGTATCAACACAGAGAAAAGCACTTCCCAGGGAATGAGTGCGAATTCATTCAGGCCCAGGCAGCTCAGTCTGTTTCTAGACAGGAAAATGCTATTTTGTAGCTTGTCTGTGCTGTAGGAGAAAGACCAGCAGTGTCTTCAGAAGACTGATTTCTCTATTCTTTTGGAAGTTTAATCTGGAGAATATTTTAAAAATTCCAGGTGACTTTACTGTTTTGAAAAAAAATGCATGTAGAGGGCCAAAGAGATGAGTCACCAGCCGGAACGCATCCTTTCCAGTAAGCAATCCTGGGTTTGGTTCCTGGCACCACCTGCCTCTCAGATCACTAAACCAGAAGTACCCTGAGCACCGCAATGTGGCAAGATAAAAGCTGTGGAAAGTCTTTGTTCCTAGCGGTTACAGAAGGTATCACCAAGGATGAGGAGAAAGAAACTTGAATGAAAAACAACGTTATGACAACTGCAGCTATTCTAGAAGAAGCCACTCAACTGCCTTGAATCACTCAGTGATACGGCTCAAAGCATTCCTGAAAAATCAGACAGTCTTAGTGAACACTGAGAGTCTGTTTTTATGAAAGTTTTCCCCATAAGCAAAACACAAGGAATGTTGAGTTAAATTTTTGGTGTGAAAAAAATTTAATATACTTTATCTTATCATACATTTCCTCTAAATTACAGTCAATAGCTGCAAATATATTCTGCTACAAAGCTTTCTGTAAGAAATATCTCTATAAGAAAATACATCTCATTAACATTTCCTGTAAATAAATTACTTCAAATAATTTTTGAAGGGATGTACACAAGGGAAATAATGCAGAAACCAGATCGTATATATAATTGTTCAATAGGAAAGGTTTGACTGAAAAGTTCCACTTCCAAGTTGTCACCTCACAATAATCTATTTGTACAGACTTTATTTCTTTGATGCATTAGCTTATAATTTTTGTTTCAGCAGACACGGGGAAAATGACTGTGGGAAGCTGAAAGCCTCAATAGCTCTGCTTACTTTTTTCTGGGAAAACCTGTAGGTGAGTTTGTGTGAGAGAAAATTAGGAGTAATTTGCAGTCTATGAAGGTAATTATAACAATTACAAGATAATGTTTTGTTTTGTGCTCTAGTCATAATATTTAGAAGTGCCTGAAAGGTTTCAAACAATTAATAACATATAGTTTCTGTAGATTAGTGATGTGTAGATGTTAAACACATTTCCATTCATATTTTTAAAATTGACAGTTGCAAAAAATAAGCTATTATTGGCCAAAAAATCAAAATAAAAACAACAACCACCCCAAAATAAGAACAGCCAATTCAGAGGACTCGGAGAAATTTGGTGCAGAAAAGATGAGGTTATCGGCAGTTAGAGGCTGTTTGAAAACAGTGGGCCATGTTATCCTCTTTTAAAGCCTAAGGGGTATGTTTTGTAAGACCACTTCATAGTATGATTATTTCAGGACCTTAAGAACATAAATATAAATATTATTTTGACATTGTTGGACTTGACCAACAGATTTGACCACACTGGACTCATATTTGTAGTACATAGTTGAGAGAGCAAATCCATGGAAAACTTCCAGTTACGTTGTTCAGTCCGGTGCTTTGTATAGAAAAGTTCATTTGTGCTTCAGAGTACAGCCTGCATATTAACAAAATCTGCATACTTGGCAAAGTTGGCTCTTTACCAAGCCTTTGTGCAGGTCAGCTGTAACTCAAGTGTCTGCCATGAGCTTTCACCTGCTATTTTGTGAATTATATAAAGAATAGGTGTATTTACTACTGTGGCAAAACAGAGGAAATGTCAGATCTTCAAAGGTAACTTATCTCCCTTCTGTGTTGGTTGTATTTCCCACAGATTTTGGACTTTGTAAAATTTCCAATCTGTGGAAAATCTCCACGCTATTCATAATCATTGGGCACAGATTAGAAAATTCAGTCTATTCAAGGCAGGAATCACAAATAAGAGAGGCAATGTCATGTAAGAATCTAAATGGGTCAAGTTTTTATCTTATAATATTGATACTTATTAATTATTGGACATTATAAATTAAATATAAAAATTAAAACATGTAAATAAAGTTTGAGAAAAAACAAGTTTATTATGTAGGTCTTGATAAAACCCTGTGGATATTTTGAAAGTTTTTAGAAAATACTGACTGCCTTCCCCCTTTCATTGAGAAGCAGAAATTATACTCAAATTATACTCAATTCCACTTCTTATGTGACAATGCATTTTGTGTTTTAGAACCAACTGTGTGCAATCAGCATTTTAATTAAGCTAAATTTTGAAACAGAAATATGGCTTTTTGGATTATTAAAAAAAATCACTAATCTGAAGGAACTCTGTCCTCCAGCCCCAGCTAAACTCTTGGCCAGTGCTGTGGTGTATGCCCAGTCATTTCCACTGTGTGCTTTTCCCACCCATAACCGCTTCTTCCCAACCGTGTGCATTATTTACATGAACAGGTACTGCAAACCTGCTGGCTGCCCCCTGTTCGTAACCTTCCTAATCCACTTCATTCTCTTTCCGCCCAGTCGACTCTGTTCTTATCTCAGTCCTCATTTCAGCCATTCTGCTGCGATGCAAATCTTATTTCCCACCGTGCTCTAATGCATTAGATGTCTGGGGTCACAGTTTCCTCAGAGGTGCTCAGATTTTCTGGCACACATGGAGCCTGGCTTTGGAGGAGTAGGTGGCATCTTTCCACACTTTACAGGACAGGCCTTTAGCACAGTCACACCGCTGGAAGATTTCCAGCCCGTGGGAGCCCTTCTTGCGCTGTTTGGTGCAGACCTCGCCTTGATGGAGCACAGGCTTGCAGATTTTGGTCCAGAAATGACGAGCACAGCAGAATCCCTCGATGCAGTCTGAGGAGCGTAGGCAGGGGTCGCCTTCGTGTCCTGCAGGGGTGATGGCCAAGACACAACAGGACACTTTAGGAGACAGCCCACTTGTGCTGTGAGTGCTTAAAATATGTTCCTTATGCTGTCTTTGATGGTGTACCATGAACAATGAAATAGCAGTACTGCATTTCATCTCTCTCATTATTTGCTTTTAGGTGTCTTCCTGATAATTTGTTAGATACCCCAAAACAACAATAACTATTTTCCTGTTAATCAATCTGGCACCTTCCTAGAAATTACAAGCTGATTCAATGTTCAGGGAATGTTCATGACTAGCCAGGAAAATGCCAAAGTCTTACCGGTGCCAATAGAAGATACTCTCTGTTGAAAACTGGCTACAAAATAAGGAGTTTTGGGAGCCAGCAAAGATGATGGTCTGGCATCCGGGACAGAAAATCAGCGCCACTCTGGAGCAGAACCAGATCAAAGGAGCAATTTAAGTGAAAAAGAGTGAGGGCTCTGCTGGAAACACCTGAGGCTGCGGAGGTGGAGAATCCTGTCGCCTCTCCCTCCCTCTGTTCCCCATCTCTCCTCAGAGATGTTCACTCTGCCAGAGCCATCAGAAAGTACACCAGAGCCAGAAACAGAGTGGGGCTCATCAAGGCTGGTCATTTGACTAATTATCTGGGTATTTGATTCAGGAAAAAAGCATCCACTCAGCTTACAGGACACACACATCATAACTTTTGTAAAAAAGAAAAAGAAAAAAAAATAAAATGGTTGGAAAAAGTGTCTGCAATGTGCAGAGTGTAATATTTTATATGTTTTAGGGCTAGATGGTGCCAAAGACTCAGTTCTCTTGTATTGCAAAAGCAGCTGTAAGATAATGCCTGGATAAATGGACAAGTCTGTGTTCCAGCGACGCACTGTTGTGGGTGATCAGCCTGCCCGTGGGAAGGGTGACCTGCTACCTGCCAAGCTCACTGTGGGGTGGGAACAAATTCAGAGCCAATGACATGGAGTTCTTCAAGGCTGCCATCAGAAAATTGCACATAAACTACGGAAAAATAATTTGTGGGTGAGACATTAGGAGAGATATTAGTGGGTCAGAGCATGCATTTTTTATGTGTGGGGGCCTGGCTTTGATTCTTAGCACTGCTGGATGCAGCTCCCAAACCAAAGGAATTAGTCAGTGTGAAGCTGCACTCTGTGACTTAGCTATATTTTGGAATGAAGACGGGAATCTGTGCAATAAACAAGCAGATGGGACAGAAATAGGAGATGTGGGTAGACAACACAGACCTCCAGGGAGTGGAGAGAGGGGATAATGGAAGCCTTGAGCACCCTTAGTGCCTTTAGCACGATCCAGGTGAGCAGGAATAATTCCAGACTGGATGGATAGGCTGGCAAGATCAGGCACTAGCTCTGCAGAGCACAAGAATGTGAACAAATAGCTTTGTCACCATACAAGACAGGGAAATGCACTACTTGAAAAAGGCAAGTTTTCCAATCTTCTTTTCCAATCTTCCTCCCCAACCATATAATTACAAATTTATTTCAAAGTTTCCAAAATCAGCTTCGAACTCATGAACACATGCTATTTCTTCCTCAAGGGATATCTGAGCAGAAGTGTCCACTATATCGCAAAGACTTCCCATTAACAGTGGAAGTGATGGACCAGAGAGGTTGGACGGCAGGTAAGGGGCTTGCTTGCCTGGCATGTGGCCAGAGTTCAACCCCAGCTTCAATTCCTGGCATGCCATGGTTCTCTGAGTACAGCAGGAGTGATTCCTGAGTACAGAACCAGGAGTAAGCCCTAAGCACAGGAGTCTCCCCGAAACCAATAAAAATAAAAATAGTAATGGAAGTGATTTGGAGCAAGAGAGTTTGTATGGGGATAAGGAACTTGTTTTGCATGTGGCTGAGCCCAGTCTGATTCTGAGCACTGCACGGAGAGTCATAAGCGCAGAGCCAAGAAGAACCCCGGAAATGGGTAAGTATTGCCCCAAACATACAAACAAAACAAAAGTGATTTTGTGCTCTCAAAGTTTACGGCTAACAATTAGGCTTCACAAATTTTTTTATGTAAAATGGGAATTTGGGGGAATGTCACAGTGGCCTGCATTCTTGCCTTGAATGCAACCAACCTGGGTCTGTTCCCAGCACCATGAATGGGCCTCTGAGCTCTGGGAGGACTACTCTCTGAGTACAGAGCCTGAAAGAAGCCCTGAGCATGGAAGGTGTGGCCCAAAGACCAAAGCCTTGGAGTTGAGGAATTAATTTTACACACAATTACACTAAAAAGTCTCTCTTTTTTTCCTACCTTTTTTGTTAAACTGATTTATGAATAGTATTTATCTGGTTGTTCAGTGAAATAAAATTGGAGTTTGCAAAGGTAAAGACTCTAACACTCTAAAAAGTTAATTAACATATAATAACAAACATGTTTCCATTTATTTTCAGAATGCTTTCTTTTTTTTTTTTTCTTATTGGGTCACACCCGGCGATGTATAGGGATTATTCCTGACTCATGCACTCAGGAATTACTCCTGGTGGTGCTCGGGGGACTATATGAGATACTGGGAATTGAACCTGGGTTGGCCATATGCATGGCAAGTGCCCTACCCGCTTTGCTACTGCTCGGGCCCCATGTTTTATCTTTTGATATGTGACACTAACACTTGTATATATAGTTTCTTTTAAATTTCATCTACAGTGGTAGGACTGTTCAGAAAATGGTATTGTTGATGCTACAATTTTTGAGTATTTCCTTTATTTGGTATGGGGAGTTCACCTTGTGGTGCTCAGGGCTTACTCTTGTTTCTCTGCTCGGGGGACCATCTGCATTGCCAGGGGTCAAACTGAGTTCAGCAAGAAAGGCCAGCATCTAAACCCTGTACTTTCTCTCCAGCCAATTCTCGTGAATTCCCTAACAATTTAAGTTCTCTAAGAGACTTACAGTTGTATATGCAAAATTAATAATAAATGTAGTTCAAATATTCCCTATAAAATGTTCTTCTAGTTTTTATTCTAAAACTATGAATTGAATTACTGGTATTTTCTTTTTATTGCCTAATTAAAAAATAGGTAAACGTGGAAAAACAGATAACTGTACCTTTGATATGCGATATCTTAGTGAGTGTTCTTCCGAGGTTCTGCCACCCCAAGTCGTGGTTTGAATAATGGCCGTGGTTCCTATCTCTGTGCCGACTGCCATCCAGAGCTGGGATGTGAGCAGTTAGGATGCTCTCAGTGACCGGGATGCAGATGCCTGGGGATGATCAGGTAAATGATTACACTCACTCACTTTCACAAAGAAGAACTGTCATGCGAGCATCTATTCTCTCTCGAGTCTGTCCAAATTGGGGACTGAGTAGTTTGGCCAGGTTTTCTCCATTTGAATTTTGTCACCCTCAAGACCAAGAAGTGGCATTAGCCAAAAAATAGGAATAAAACAATTCATTTCATAAAGTGGTTGTGGGTGCATGTATAGTACTCAGAATAGTGACACAGCGCTGTGAGATTTGTATTAGCCATTAGCACTTTAAAAATCACCTGAGTGGACACTCATGCTTGCCGCAGGGTCCTTCATTAGTAACATCACAGTGCAGCGATAGCCCTGTGATGGCAGATGGCCTCGGTCACGTCCTGTCCATAGTGATGCCACTGCCCAGAGGTCAGATGTGTGGAAACAAGAGTCTAAGGAAGTATCTCTCATCAGCTTCTACAGTGACGGTGTCCGCTAGCGTGAATTATGTGCTGTGCGTCCTCAATTGTCAGCTATAAGTTCATCACACTGTGGGCAGCCATGCTTCTGGGAAGGCTGATGGGGGCTTTGTGACTGCCGGACCCGCTGGGCAGTGCCTTCAAAAGGCAACCTGCATCCCGGAACTGAGGGTGTGAGCTGGCCGACCCTGGACAAGGGACCGAGACACTGTCCAGCTGCAGCAGCTCGCTGGGGTTTTCTGCTTGCTTTGTTTAGCGGCTTGAACAGAGCGTTCCCGGGGTCAGCACACACTGTCCAGCACAGAGGGTGGCGAAAGGCCACCCATGCTCTGGGTAGAAAAGCCCCTAGGGTCATCCGGCACATTCCTGCACCATGGTCTGGGCTGGCGATTGGGAAAGGCGCCTGCTGACTGAGAGTCCTGGCCAGGGGGACCTGACCGCTGCCCGACGCCCTCCGCCCCGACCCTGCCTTACCATTGTTGCAGCGGGTGCCAGGACAGCACATGCCGTCCCTGTGACAGCGCTTCTTCCTCCTCCGACACACCATGCAGGCCGATGGGCCCTGGTGGGGGCTGTGGCAATACCTCCCAACTTCACATTCTTTGTCGCTGCTGCATGGGTAGGCCTGGTGGGGGGCAGCACAAGGGACCAAAGGCAGAGTGGGTTAGACAGGCAAATGATGAACGGGCATCCTTCATCCTCAGGGGGTCGCTGCTGAAGGGATGTGAACCACTGAGAGTGCCCTGAGCCCTTCACAGAGTGGGGACCTGGTGAATACTGGTGGTGGTGACAGAGGGGATCCAGTGAATACTGGTAGCGGTGAGAGAGGGACGTGGAGAATACCAGTTGCAGTCACAGAGGGGACCCAGAAAACGCAGGTTATGATGACAGAGAGGACCCAGTGAACACTAGTGATGGTGACAGACGGGACCTGGTGAATACTGGTAGTGGTGACAGAGGGACCTGGTGAATACCAGTAGCAGTCACAGAGGGGACCCAGTAAACATGGGTGTTGATGACAGAGGGGACCCGGTGAACACTGGTGATAGTGACAGAGGGGACCTGGTGAACACTGGTGATACTGACAGAGGGGACCCGGTGAATACTGGTGGCGGTGACAGAGGAAGCTGGCGGAAACCCTATGCTTTCACTGCCATAACTTTAAGAATCAGGATTTAGACTTGTGTAGTGACTTTGGGGATCAGACCATTGAAATTGCTGAATTGCAACCGATTTGGAGTGAAATTGAACATTTCATCTGGAAGGGAGGGGGCGGCAATCAAATGATAAAGGGCAGTGCTAGAAGCTACTCTTCTCACCAACAAACCATGTTCCTCTCTGCTGCTGCCTGTGAGGAGCAAGAAGAGAAGCACTTCCTGAAGAGTGAGGCTGTGATTGTCATAGGACGGGCAGCGGGTGCGCTGCAGCCTTCCTCCTGAGGGGAACAGGCAGCCGTGGGGGTCAGGGGACAGGGAAGACTTGTTTGTAAGTCTTTGGGGATAGTTTTTCCTCCTCTATTTGAATTTATTCTTTTCAGAATAATCTGGTTTTTTTTTCTTTTTGGGTCACACCCAGCGATGCACGGGGGTTCTTCCTGGCTCTGCACTCAGGAATTACTACTGGCGGTGCTCGGGGAACCATATGGAATGCTGGGAATTGAACCCGAGTGGGCTGCGTGCAAGACAAATGCCTTCCCTGCTGTGCTATCGCTGTAGCCCCCTCTGGTTATTTTTTAATGGTGAAAATTATGAAAAGCCTAAAGCTATTGTTTCTACACGTGAATAAATAATAAGACAATGGGGCGAAACTTAGAATGAATAACTGGTGATTTGGATGCTTTCTTCATGAAAGGGTTCCAGTGGTGTCCCTCAGTCTCTTCTTTTTCCTCGATGACTCTCTCACACACTCCCACTTGCTCCCGCCTACCTGCGTGTGTGTGTGAGAGAGAGAGAGAGAGAGAGAGAGAGAGAGAGAGAGAGAGAGATTTAGCCTCATGTGTTTTCTAACTGGATATGATCATCTTCAGTTAGAAAGTTAGTATGAAGTTGATCAGTGAGTCTGAGAACCTACATGTTATTCTATGGGGAAAGCATACGATATACAAAAATGTATGCTATAAAAACATTCTGTAGCACTGTAGCACTGTCCTTTTATTTATCGATTTGCTCAAGTGGGCACCAGTCACGTCTCCATTGTGAGACTTGTTGTTACTGTTTTTGGCATTGTTTATCCTCCAAAGAAGACAGTCTTCACAAAACCATGCTTTCAGAATGAAAGTGACTTTGAAGGATTTTACAGCGGCCATGTTTGATGACTACTACACAATTGGAGCCAGGGAAAGCTATAGAAAGAATTTGCATATTATTTTTCCATTCTGGAACTCCATCAGTAAGCCAAAAGAAAAACCTGAATGAGGTTAAATTTAGAGTATTAGACAATTTTTCTAGAATCCAAATCTCATGAAAACAAAACAAATGTCACTTCCTGCCTTGCCACACAGAGCCTCCCCCAAGCCCTTACTCCATTCATATTTAAATCCATTGATTTCAATTGAAATACAGTTCACATGTTTCTGATTCATTTACAATTATTTCATCAAATTGTTTTTGCAAGAAACATTTGAAGTGTTTTTTCCTTTCTCAAAAATAGGACATGTTCTTACAACACAAATAAACATGTCCCACCTAAAACATCATGTGCAATTCACAATTAAATTCACAGATCTTCAAGGGATTCTGAATATAGAATAACACTTAATTCCTTTCCTAAAAAAAAAGTCTACATAGTAGGAAGCAAGTTGTTTGCTAAAAGTAGCAATTCATTTATGCAAAAAATTGTGGAAGACTCATCATCTTCTCTTTCTCAGTTGATGAGGAGTGGAAAATAATTAAATGGAAAATACTTGAAATGGAAAATATTTGATGCAGATGATATTACAGAAAGTAATATGCACAGTAGTCCTTAGCTGAATGGAATCACTCCTGCAGACAAAAGCTCACTTTTATGGGGACATAAGAGGGGGCGGAAGAGGGGATAAATGAAAGAAAACGATAGTTTTATTTAACCTGAAGGGGAAATGACAGGAAGAAAAGTATGCAGAAGTGTTTTAAATGTCAGGATAATATTAATGTGAACCTTGTCTTAGACTGAAATCCCTGAACATAAATATTAAGAGGAATATTTTGACAATTAAAAACAAGTTTTAGGGGTTGAAATGCAAGATTAGAATATGCAGCTTTCAGTGTGCTGATGAAACTCCTGGCTTCAATAATTTGCATGTATGTATAAGTTTATTTTAAAGGCTGTGATAAATAGAATTTGGATGAAACAGATTTCAGGGAAGGCCAGTGATATTGGGGGGCATGCCTTCCCTTCTGAACAGTGTTCCCAGCACAGATCTGCCGAGCCACAAAGTTTCTCTCGGGCATGACCATTAGCTCAAATATACTTAGCATGAGAAAGTACAAATAGGTCTGATCATGCATAGAACTGTCATCGTTTCAGCCAGATGCATCATTATCCAGTCGAGTTAAACATGGCATTTTCAGCCGAGATTAAGGTCTCTGCAGCAACCCAGCAACCCCTGTGTGTGCCTGACAGAGGGAGTGGACGACACAAGGGGACAGTGACATGGTGTCACTATGGGACCACTGGAGGGGAATTGTACCTCATGAAGGCCCTGGCCTGGAGAGGGTACCCTGGGGAAGGTGCTTCCCTTGCACATGGCCAGCCCTGGTCTGATTCCCCAGCACTGCATAAGGTCCCCTGCCAGGAGGACACAGCAAGCAGAGACCCTTTCTGGATGACATATTTTGTGTTGCCTGAAACTGTTTTTGTGACAAAAATTGTTTCCCTTGAACAAAAGCAATGTGCGTCCATGGGACTTCCAAATGGACAAGAAGACTATTTTCTACTTGCTGTGTGTTTCTGGCAATTTCTGTGGCTCTTCATTTACTGAACTTGAGGGGAGCTGAGGGAAGAGCTTGGGGAGCAGGAGGCAAACAGGAGCCCTGTGCGGCAGGAGTGGGAGGCCCAGGTCTCGAAGTCCTGGGCTTTGGGGTGCATTATCGGAGACACCTAATGCAGCAGATGCGAGGCCTTCACTGAGGAATGTCTGAGAGTGGCTCACCATTAGCCCAAAAGCAGACATTTTGCCCACCCCGCCCCCCAGCCTAAAAATAGAGATATCTCTATAAATAGCAGTGCTCACTGCCAACTCAACCATGGCACGAATTAAAGAAGGAGGGAACACATTGGCCACAGCTTGAAAATAAACTATCAGAAATGAGTGTTTCTGTTTTAGGATATGGGACTTTGTAAGAGTTCTTTTCCTCTGTGCTAATTTGGAAGCATTACTTAAGATTTAGCAAGGGGTGAAGAGAGGTGAAGTAATTTCTGTTAGTGAGACCCGTGTGACCAGAGGCTGGCCGGCTGGAATGCTGCTTCTTCAGAGGAAGAAATCGGGATAAACGATGTTTCACACTGAAGATTTAATGCACATGGAAACGGCTGAGTGGTGACCTGCCCTCTCCATTTAGAGACCAGGAAAATTAACACGGACGCTTCCTTCTCCTGCTTTAACTGCTGCAGAGAGATTCAGGAAAATACACTACAAAGTGTCTTCTCCTTCCATTTCTTTCTGGCTCTGTACTCAGAAATTACTCCTGCCGGTGCTCAGGGGACCATATGGGATGCTGGGGATCAAACCCGGATTGACCATGTGCAAGGCAAACGCCCTCCCTGCTGTGCTATTGCTCGAGCACCACCCCCATTCCATTTCTTGACGATAATTTTTATCTACGCTTGAACTCAGTGTAATTGCACCTAGCACCAAAAATTCTACAATACTAATATGAGAGTTAAATTGCCTAATTATCAAAATAAAATTTCACTACATCTTATTTAAACCAATTACCACCACCCCAATTGCTTTCAAAACTTATGCAGAGAAAGACAGTTATAGAGGAAATCAGGCAATTAATTTGAAGGAAAAAAGTTAATTATTTCTTCATTTCTGACCATCCTAAAAATACAGTTATAACAACGGAGTAATTTGATCCAGAAGAAAAGTGACAGAAGATGTGTAGCGAAAGAAGATGTGTATCAGGTTTCCACAGCAGTCACCTTTCAAAAGAACTTTGGCCATAGCTAAAATCTTAGTTGGACTCCTGAGTTTTCAAAACAATGACCCTGGTCTTGCCTAATGACTGGGAAGGAAGGGTGTGAAAAAGCAGGAACCATCCCAAAGTGTCCCTGTGGGCTGGCCACCCATCCCGGTTCTTGCAAGACCGACCTAGTTTTGTTTTAATGGAGACAATCCTTTGTCCCCTCAAGCACTGTTTATAACAAACTCGGAAGTTTTCTGGAGCCAGGAAACGTCATCAGCTGGGCAGACAGACAAATGCCCACAGGGAGGGGCTGCTGGGGGCTGTCCACTGGGCTGTGGGAACGAGAAACAGTTGGGGCCACAGGGGGAGGGAACAGCAAGAGCTGGGGCTTGGACAACACTGAGGAAGGTTGGCAATGACGTTGGGGAAAGCAGATTGAAAAGAAAGATTCCTTTCCCTTGTCATATCCTTAGCAGAGACTGATCTAGAGTTCAGTGACTAGCCAGGGGCGCTCTTC